TGAATTAGAAGGCAGGGGAGTTTTTAAATAGTCCTGGTGATCTCCAAATTAAAACCGAGAAACCCCAGTTCTCAAAGCATATGCCCTCCTCTGCCTGGGTATCTGGGATGTCTCTCACTAGAGTGAAAGAGGCAGAAAAAAACATTGCTCCTTCCCAGATTTTGTCCTTCAGTTTTCCACAGATGTCAGTCATGTCAGAACTGGTATGCTTGCTCCCAGACAGAATTTTACTCTGAGAAAACTGGTGTTTTGTTCAAAAGGCTTTTCTGTTACTTTCACATATATTGCTTGGGCAAATGGATAAAGTCAATGCTCAAACGCATTATCAATTGTGAAAACAGCTAAAAACAGTGTTCAAATGCATTAGCAGTCACATACTTCTGTAGATTTCCCAAATACTGTTTAACTGTTTGGCTATTTGAAATTACAATGCTACAAGTATGGTTAGCTGGATTCTCATTCTTAATTCCAAAATTTGAACTACATACAGGGATAATATAATTCAAAGGTCTGTGGGTGGAAACTCCCTGGAGGAACCAGAAGATGTGAAGACAGACAATTGTTTTCTGGAATATTCATTTTAGTCAAGTTTGGCTATTAATTTCAATGGCACCATTATTTACAACACTTGTACTGTTAAATTCCTTAATTGACTTATTTGCATAATGCTTTCATCTTTTTCATAATGTTTTCTCTGTTTTCTGCTTCTTTTAGTATTTAAACATGCAAAAATGGCTTGAATGACAGAAGTTTGTCCTTTCTTTCCAGAATTGATTGTGTCTTCTTTTTTTCCTGAGTAAGTAGTTTCAAAATGTTGGCTGCCAATTGTTTTGACCACAATAGCTGTCTAAGCTCCCTAAACAGATGTCTGATGACTGCACAGAAAGCCAAGATTCAGACAAGTGCTTTTGGCATGATTATATTCAGATATTGATTTTAACAGGACCAAACCAGCCACTTTTAAGTCCTGGCACAACCTACAATGCTGTAGCTGTCAATTTATAACTGACACAGTTATAAAAACCCCGTGAAAAAATATTCCATTTCCAAGCAGCTTTCTTGGAAAGGGAGGGAAACTCTGAATTTTTCTTGGGTCATTCATACAGGTGCAGCAGTACCACCCAGAGGCCACCACTGTGCTGGACACTGCACAAATTGGAGTTCCTGTCCAAAAGGGCTCAGAGGCTGGAAAGGCAAAGAAAACACTAAGGCTTAGAAGAGATTATCATATAAATCTGTATTTGTAATAGTCTTCAGATGAAACTCCCCAAAATTGCATTCTCTCACTGTCCTACTCAAGCCAAATCTGAATGTAGACAACCCTTCTAATCATTGGCACTGCTTTTAATTCTTAATTAGACCACTTGTATGAGATGATGAAATTCCAGGATTTGGTCTTTGGTCCCAAGACAGTGTATTTTTTGTTCTGGAGTCATTCCTGAGCTATCAATAAGCATATAATGAATGTGCAAGCAGTGTGGCTATCCAGTGGAACATGGGCCATAAGGATCCAGCCTGCTCTGGGCAGGGAATGTGGCAAAAAGACTACCAGGAACATCTTGTTTATTCCACAAACACCACTGTGTTACACAACCTGCTTAGGTATGTTGGGGGAGACATTGAACTTGGCACTCCCATTTTCTGGGCCCAGTTCCTCTGTTCAGAGAACATAATCTCCATGGTTTTAAAAGGTGGTAGTTATTGAGGTGTTCAAGAAGGTCTCATTTTAGCAGATTGTGCCAAACATATTTGAGAATACCTGCAGATTCTTCTCTATGTAACGCAAGGAATGTTTATAAGTCCTAGTTTTGCTGATGATATTAGAGTTGAGTTGCTCAGACCAGGCAAAGCACAAAACAGAAGGGGAGGCCTTTGGAGTCAAAGACGGACCTTACCAGTTTAAGAACTCAGTTGTTCTGCAACACTTAAGCAGCTAAACATAGCTATTCTGGTCAACAATTTGAGACTTGGGCACATCAAACCTACCTATGTATTTAGTCTCTTTATCCTTTGCCTTTATGGAATGATGGATGTGTCTGCTGCTGTGAAGAAGAGAGGTGTTGTGATGCAGCAGAAGGAAGAAAAGCAGGCATTTCTCCCTTGTAGTCTGGCATCAACTAGTCTGAAAGCTTAAATCACCTCCTGGTGTAATGGAGTGGCTACAGTGAGCAATGTTCAAGTATGATCAGAGAGCAAAACCAATCAAGTGGGTACTTTTCATTCTAAACAATGAGATTATGTTAAAACATCAAGTATCAAGGAAGGCAAGCAGAGTAGCAGAGTTCTGACCTTATTGTTGTGAGTAAATAAACTGAACACCTGAAGCTATTACAACAGTACACACATCCCTATAGGAAGAAGCAAGGAACAGAGGTAACCTATGGACTAAATGTGAGATCCATTTGATGTTTTTTACAAGCCAAGGTAAGGAGACTCTGTGAAGTAACAGAGTGTGTCTTGTCAAACTGACACAGATCTTTATTTCAAGAGGAAGAGATGAGGGGACAGTGTTACAGATGTTTACCACTCTGTGTCAAGCACTGATAGAAAGGGATGCTCAGGATAAGCGTTCTGTGGAACCCTACATAGGATACAACAGAATATATTAACACTGCAAAGATGTTCTTATGACATTCCTTGTTATTGTAAGTATCAGTAGTTTTGAAGCAATCTACATATTTAAATGCATCAATATGCATTATATGCATTATTTCACTCCTTTCCTCTGATTGCTTGATTCCCCTCTCTGTAGAGCAATGCCCCAGCTTTGTAAAATAAAGTATCCATTACACACTGAAAAAATGGGCCTGATGAATCACAAACCCCCACATAATTTAGTACATCATCTCTCAATACAGCTTTTCAGTCTAATTTAATGCATTATTGAAGATAACATGTTCATTAAAACAGCTGCCAGCAAACTCTTCATTTGGATTGTTTCATGGAAGGACTAGTCAAAGGGAAATGAAACACCACAGGCTAATGATATGCAAAAAGGACAAAAAACATTTAAGTTTTGATACATTGGTATTGAGATGTTAATATGATTTTTTCTTAATGAGTACTGCTCTGCCAGATACGGTAAATCACAAACCTGATGTTTCTTCTTAGCCAACTTACAACATATAATAAAAAATAACAAAAAAACACATGGCAAAATTACCAGGGCTGTACAGTAAGGATGACTTAATGAGCACAGAATTATTATTTATTGTTTCTTATTGCTACTTCTCTGTCAGTGAGCATTTAAGTAGCAGATATTTTCATCCAGAGCTCCTGGTCTCTGGGGGAGTGAACTGAAATCTCTCATCCCCTCAAACACTAGGAAGTCCTAGATTCTAATGTTCTGGCTTAAATTAATGTCTAACATCTTCCATTATAACTGGGCTTTAGCAGTAAGTGTTGGTCTCTCAACAGGACCAAATTTGTGATGTTAAAATTTTGCCAGTATTTTTTTTACCCCATTGTACCATTGTTTACTGGTAAAGCACAGAGTTTTAACAATTATAGTTTAACTAGGACATGTCATCAGCAAGAGACACACACCAGAAAAATTATCAATAACTAAAGATTTATTAGAGTTACTGACATTAATTAATAAGATATTCATAAAATTAACAAAACAAAATATCTGCTGTCTCATATCTCCATTACATAATCAGTCTGAACATCCTTTAAGCCAGACAACATACTTACTCAGCTGCAGGCCCAGTGGTTTAAATTACACAGACATCCAGACCTCCTGCCTCCCCTATGAAATGTGCAGTCAAGGAGAGAGTGTTTGACCGAGACAGCCACTCACCAGTCTGTTATTAACCTATGGCTTTAATACTTTGCATGCTTTTAAGCTCTTGCCTAGGTCCAGCAGCCTCCAAACACTAACTCTGTCATGTCCAGGAAGTCCTTTTAAACTGAGATGTAAGGAAGAAAAGCCCATTGTGAATAAACCATAATCTAAAGCATCTCGTGACAAAGACTAGTAGTCAATACCTTTGTCTGTCCTGTAAGCTACTGAACTATTGATTATTTTAGACAACAATACTTATATTCTCTCCAAAAGGAAAAAAAAAAAGGCTTCACTGTAGTCTCAAAGGAAGGAGTGTAACTGACATAGTGTAGATGTCTAGAAATCTGAGCTGGTCATTCCAGGGTCCTTTGCAAACCATGGTAGTAAAGATGTACATTGATTAATGTCACAGTAAAATAGATGTTTGCAATCTGACCAATTGAATTGTTTCTTACAAATGTTTCCTTCTCTATATAAGATAGAATAAGTCAAGTAACTCAGAAATCTACACTGTAGATGTATAAATTTAGGCAAGATGAATCCATCCAAAGTGTTTTGACAGTCAGTTTAATAAAAGTAGGAAAGATAAATACAACAACATACTGTCATGCAATGTAGGTATTTCATTATTTCATGGCAACTATTAAGTGTGCACTTCTTAAAAAAATGGTGATTAAATAGTTACCAGAATTGCAAACATGGAGTGGGGTAGTTCTTAAAACCCTCTAGCAATTTTTTGTCCAGATTCCTTCTGCAGTAGTAAAGATGCATTTTCCAAAAATCATTTGTTCCGTCTCAAATTTATAATTTAAGTTATTTGGGGAGAATCTTTCTCTGGATTTTGATGTCTCCCCTTGGAGGTGCAATATGAACCCACTTCCCTCTTCATGAAAAGCAGTAGTTTAAACTGAATTACTGGCTTCTAAATGGCTAATCTTGATGATGAGAATCCCATTCATACTATGTTAAGTAAACAGATCTTTATATTAGAGGAAAAGAGAATACAGCCCCTTCAAAACAAATATGTAGGAATGTCCTGGCATTCAGAAAATTTGAATAAATTACATTGATTTTACATAAAATTTAGTGGTTTCACAGATCTTATAAATATACTGACCAATATCTTGTTTTGCTTCCTGCAATGTGTGTATGAAAATGCATCTAAATTCTTATTAAAATAATTCTTTTAATGACCATGCAGTAGGACTTCATTCAGAGAATTCCCAGCGTAAAAATGAATAATTTCCCACAGTGTTTTGAATTAACAGGCCAATACAATTAACTAACAATAGAAATTTCTTCATCATACGTTCTGTATGTCAAAATTAGTAGATCCATTTTTCTGCAAGAGAGAAAAGATTGGTCAGAGATGCCAAGCAAAGCAGTATGCTCTAAGTGCCCTACAATTAATTTTCCGATCTAATTGTTTGCAAAATTCCCCATTCCCATCAGATTTTATGGTGAGTTAATAACAAAAGTATTTTAAGAGAACAAATTTTTAATATAATTTTAGTTAACATGATCTTATCTCAAAATTACATAGTTGAAAACTATTTTATCAGATTATTTCATCTACATCTCTGTCTTAATTTGGTAGAGAGGTACTGATTTATAGTATTGTGAAATAATAATTGCCATGAAGAGAGAAGACTTAAAATCTAGCAACTTCTAGAAAAATTAATAAAACAAAATGTTTATTTGTCCCTGCCTTGCACATTTTTTTACTCACTTGGCTCCTCACAAAGGTAAGAATCATAATCACATGTAATATCTTCATTATGATTTCACAGATTTTGTATCTTCTCTCGTCACAATTACTCCATTAGTTGAAAATACTTCTGCACCCTGTCTTACTTGTTTCAATAGAACAATCTGATTCTCAGATGGCCTTGCAATTTATTCTCTCTTCCAGGGCAAGGTGCCATTGCCCCCCTCTAGGTGTCTCTATTGATTGCACAGGTACAACTCTACAGAGAGACCTGAAGAGATGAACTTGCAGTGCAACCAAGATCTCCCTCACAGATACAGCATAATTGTGTCTAGAACCTGGGGTTGGATATCATCCTAAGCACCCAGACTTACTGAAATAGATGCTTTGAAAAGGTTTAAGTACACACAAATGATCATAAGCAACAGCTGTCTTGTCATATATTGAAATATTTTGAATGAAGTTCACTAAATGGTTTTTCCCACCTTCAGTATTATATATCTTGTGCCTTACCTTTAACTTTGGAATAACAAGGCTCACAGTGCACAGTTTGTTTGTAAATCCAAATGCTGTCTCCTGCTTTTAGATCTTCCAGAGGTCTCTTACATACTTCACACTTCAACACACAAGTCAAAGAATGAAGAAAAATTAAAATGAAACATTTCTGTAATACTCTTACCCAGCATGCTTTCCTTTAGGAAACAAGCAACCCCAGACTAGAATAGGAATTATTAGTACTAAAATATAAAAAATTAACTCTGAAAGAGTAGTTTTAGAGAACAAGAAGTTAGATATCTGACTATGTCACTTTTAGATATCTAAAAAATCAGATACCAGTGTCTCAACTGGTTGCCTAGGTACTCATTACACTCAACAATCCTGTCCTTCCTCCAGACATTTCCAAAAGGCACTTTTACTTTCTCTGTCTTAGCTTAGGCTTTATCCTACAATAAGATGAATCTCCATTTTGATATCCTTCTCTTTCTTTACTGAATAAATGGAGAATGATCACACATAATCATCTAACTGAGAGTAGATCTTAAAGAATCTAGACCTGCATATTTCAAAATATGACACTTTATCTTAACAGTTAACTGTGTTTCCCTTTCTTGCAGTATCTGGACACTGCTTTCACAAATGTCTCAAAAAAGTTAATTTTTTTGAGATAGAGAAACATTGCCCATGTTTCACATATGAAAATGCACAGATACACACAGAGGCTGACTTACCAAGATCACAGGGAAAGCCTACAGTGGATCAAGAAGCATGGTAATTTGATACAGAAACTAGGATCTTGATACCCAGATAATTTTATTTATTTATTCAAATCTGATTAAAGAATAGTAAATTCTGGTTTCTTTGGATATTTTATCCACTGATAAGTGAAAATCAGCATTAGTATTAAGGTGCTATTAAAACAATCTGCTGTCTTCAATGATTTTATATTTCTCTGTTTAAATCAGCAAAAGGGTGGCCATGTGTTCAAAGCTCCAACCAATATTAGCTAGAATTTTTACACAGAGGAAAAAAAGTCTAAAATTTGGGTTATTTAATTCATGTACTTTTGGTATATACCTTTTCAAGGAAATTAAGATGGTGTACTGCTGTCAGCTATATGCAAATCTCTAATGGATACACGGTATTTGTTAGGAGCTAAATGAATATTAATTATAAGAAATTGCACTACTTAGCTAAATACATACCTACAAGCATGAACCACAGACCTACATCAATTGTTTAATTTTTTTTGCCAATGTTTTCATAAGTTTGTAGTTATACAAAAATTAAGCTGAACATTCCTGGCCAGACAGGTCCCCATTTGATAGCAGGTAACAAAAAAAAGATAGTTTAAAAAATAAATGTAAGTATTTAACAGATAATTCAGCCACTACTAACATGTTAATACTCCTAATGAAAAGCCCATTCTTCTTTATGTGGGTTGATCTGTTTAAAAAGAATGGAAGCAGACCAGAACTTATATTTACTTGCAATAATAGTATTGAGGACATATCACATAGTATTTCCCATGGAAGAAAATGCCTTTCTGATGCTCAGAGAGCTCAGAAAGTCCACAGTAAACAAAAAAACGTGTGAAGCTTCATGCATGTGAAGTGCAACCTTACTGCTGTATTCTGATGTGTGTTACTTTTCATGTAGTAAATAGGGACAAGAATTGCTGTCAGAAGCAGAAATAAAAGCTGTGCAGGACTGGGCAGAAATATGATCTATGCTAATGCAGTGACTTTGCTGCATATTGTTTGTTAGAACAACAGACTCTGCGTGTAGATACAAGCAGAAATAAGACAAATGAGGCAGAAAGAAAACAGACTGTGGGGCTGAGCGCTGCCAGGCATACCCTGAGAAAAGTTTAAGAGTGAATTTTAGGCTGCGGCCCAGGGTTTGGAATTACAAACAAAAGAGATATTTCTTCTGTGCTTTAATTCTTCATGGAAATAGGAAAAAATTTCCTAGTTTTTAATAATTAAGACTGTTTTAGATGTCAATCAAGAACACCTAAAAAACTCCATAAAAACTGAATAAAATTTCACAACATGAAGAAAGTGTAAGCGGATATAATTCACAGTATCAGACTTGAACTGAAGGCTCATAAATGTGTAGGACTTTAAGAATACATTCAGCTGCATCCTTTATCCTGCTTATGGTTGCAAGGGAGGAGAGGCAAAGAGGAGAGTAGAGGGAGAAGGAGAGAGGGAAATAGAAAGAAAAAGGAAGGGATTGTGTAGGGAAGAGAGGGAAACAGAGAGGTTAGTATTGCCAACACTAATCTTCTCCTCCAGTCTCAAGACTTCTTATTCTCACAGGTGGAGAAAGCCTAAGGCCTAAATAATCTCATATTATATGTGTACTATAATGTAGGTATTACAATCAAATTTCATTTCTTGATAGCAGGTGAAATCTTCTTACCTTGAAGCAAGTCGAATGACAGTAAATTTGCAAGGCATCTAAGATCATTTTGGCATCTATGCCCAAGGGCTTCCTGCAGTATGTACATATATCTTTTCCAATTATACTCCTGTGTATATAATATAACATCAGCTGTCAGAAAAAGAGCTGCCATTGAAATCTCAAGCAGAAAATTGATAAGGTTAGCACACTGCATGGGAAAGACATTTGTATACTGTACAATGGCCATAATGGAAAAATGTTATTTGTGTATTCTCTCCATTCCAGTTGACAGGTGTCATACACATGCTCCTGTGATGGGCAAATTGCTGAGCATAATTGTCAAGTAGCAAAAATACCTTGGTAGATATAATGGTCTTCTCTGGTATACTGAATTAAGCTGCTGAATGTTTGGGAGCATGTATACTAAACAGGGATAAAGTGGAGGGGAATGATTTTAATGTTTTAATCTCAAAAGTAAACTGGTAGTTGAATTCAGACTGCCATAACTTGATCAGTCTGGTTCACAGAATTCTCTGTGGTGCAGAGGTGCCTGAAAACCTTTTTGACTTTCTGCACTGCGGACAGAACTCATACCTTCACAGCAATTATAGCAAATTCATGTATGAACAGCCTACAAGGTATTCGTGACAATAACATTTTAAAAATTGTCTCAGCTCTTCCTGCACTCCTGTATGACATCACTCTGTACTTTGTCTAGATACAGCTGTTGGTGTTGTTTTAGCATTACTAAATCAATGGCTCTTGCTCCTTGCCTGTCATGACAAGCTGCTGTACTAATATTTAATCATCCCCAGAGTTCCTTATCCTTATGTTGGAAAGGATACAAGTTTTTCTGATTAGGTATTTCCAGGTAGTAGGGCTGTCCAAATGGAATTGAATATAGTGAGAACTTTTAACTTCTTTTTCCCCATGAGGTAAGTATTACAGATTGAGAAAATATCCTGCTTATATTTGGGAATGTCTTACTGGTGTGAAAAGATAGTTTTCAACAGCATTGTTATGTGAACCTATTCCTCCACGTTTGTACATAAATTTGGTCATTACCATTTCCACAAAGGAAGGAAATTTGCAGAGTAAGTGGCTGCCTGAGATAGAAACCTACAGAATCACAAAGCCAACTCTGTCACTTAAGGCACTGGCTCTTGTTTCTATAGATATTTTCAAATGTCAGCTGTGACAAGCCTAACATGATATTAGGCTGCTGAACTGTGGTAATGATTTGATGGCAAGATCTCACTGAAAGAGAGCTTTGTATGAAAAGCTGTCTCATGATGGTGACTTCCAGGGCTCTCTTTTGTCTGAAGACTTGAATGCTTATGTAAATGTCTGTGTCCTCTGGTACTCTACGATGTTACTAATGTGTACTTACCGATCAGAAGTAGAATAAACAGTTTTGATAGTATTTCCAGTTATGTTTTCTTCATAGGCAGCAAATGGTGATTTGCTGTGAAGCAGAGAGAGTACATAGTTATCACTAAACAGTACTACATTTTTAAAGGCTTCACTACATTGATGATTATATGCAAAATAAACTAAGACAACATGCTTGCAAAAAACATACTTGGTGAGGAGTTCTTTTTCTGTTTTTTTCACAACCATCAAGAATAATATATCAAATAAAAATGTAAATTAGTAATATAGTAATACTTGTAATATAGTGTCCTTAGAGTGTTCTATTTTTGAAAGATTCTTCAGAACTCCAAATTAAATCCATGAGCCCATTGAGCAAAATTAACATAACGGGATTGGGTTTCCTGTGCTCTTATCTCAGCCTAAATGATACATATCAGAAAATGGTGGCAGACTACATTTTTTATTTTTCCTCTTCTTTTATTTGTCTTTGAAAAGCTGTCAAATGGCCAAACAAAATTACAATATGTCCCTAGAATTAGAGTGAGAGTCTTTGTAATATAGGCTTTTCAGTGTATGATTTGTGTTCACTACAGTAACTGTATTGTTCCTTATATGAGTAGAAAGGAATATACTGAATTTAATTATCAGGAACTGTTCCACTTTTAACAGTCCCATTTCCAAGTTACTTAAATGTCAGTTTTGTTTCGATGGAAGGGATGAACATGTATGTGACACTTGAAGAAGTAATCTTGCCAAACAGGTTTTGAAGATTTCTGAATTGATTTATTTATCCTATTCTCCAGAAATTCTTAAGGTATATAGTAATTATTACATGTTTCACATCACTCTTGAATAGTGTTCTGCAATGTTAGGAGCAATTGTTTATAATCACGTGTATTTACCAAATAAATACATTAGTTTTTTTCCAGGAAATACAACAGATTGATAACATGTGTGTGTAAGGTGTTTTGAAGCTCAGATAATATTTTCTACACATCTGTATTTTGTAAAGTACATATGTCTTATTTGATTTCTGTGCAGCACCAGCAATGTATTTAAACTGCAGTTACTGATAAGCTGAAATGATAAATGTTTTTTTTATATCTCATAGAACATTAACACAGAAATAACAATGGTCTTGTTATTTAATCAGACTGTAACAAACCTAGGTTTGCTCACCACAGAGGAATTATCTCCTCACATTAATGCCCAGTGCTCCATTTACATTTCAGGTGAGATGAAAATACGCTTACTAAGTAGGAATGCAAACTAAAGCTAAGTGATCACCTTTTGAAAGAGTTTCACTGACTGAGAAATTCTCTTGACCAAGAATGTGCACAACACATGTCACAGGGTGGAGTATATTACTAGTGCAGTTACCTAAAGTTTCTTGCTACAGTGAAAAGTGGCAAAGGAAAATGATTTCTTCGTTCCTGTAAAGTATGAGCCTGTTATTTTTGTTGTTAAGCTTATTTTTTCCCAAATCTTCCATCTAACTCTTATTTAACTGTGGAATCTTGGGCAAAGTGAGTACCGTGCATTGGACACTCAACATAATATGGGTATTTACATGCTGCATGCCTGAAAGTAAAATTATCTTATAGGAAGTTGTATAGAGAAAAATACTTTTCCTCAAGTCTCCTAGTGTAGAGAACATCATCCCTTGGATTTCACTAATTGACTGGAGTATTATGGTTGAAATACACAAAAATATATAAAACCACAGCTTAGGTAGAAAACCACAACTGGAGTGTGTAAAACAAAAAAATGCTGAAGCTACAGCAAAAATATTTCCAAAGCATCAGTTTCTAACCTTGTCAACTGAAAGTGTAAGGAAACTCAGAACATTTAAATAAATGCATAGTCTGACAGCTTGATGAGACACCAAGTGAAAACTGAGTCCCAGTGTAGCCTGAGAATTGTGCATCTGATCACATCCCTTCTTTCAGTTCATATCAGTCACTCCTTCACTTGCTATGGTGTGACTTGTTCATACAGCAAACTACTCAGCGAAAATACTCTGTTGAACCTATTGCATAAAACCTGAGAGAATAACCTACAAAGACCATTCATTTAATAAGTTTTCATGAATTAAAATGGGATTAGAACTTCAGGTAGAGGGTATAAAGTCTATCAAGTGTAAGGTAATGTTGCATATTGCAGCACATTCTTTGCCCTGTCATTCTTCCACTACTGTTCTCTATTTTAACTTTCAAAGAAAATCAGCGTATTACAACTCAGAGCCTGTATGTGCACAAAATTCTGAAAAATGCTAATTAATTTTTCTGTTGAATATTAATTTTCAATCTTAAATTGTAGGCTGTTCAACTTTGCTTTTATTCTCAGCCAGTTTATGGGTTTATCCTTCAAGGTCATGCAGAATTTTCAGAATACACAGATTTCAACTGTATTCCAGCTGCAGATGTAAGAATATGAGTGATTAAAGATCCTGTGCTCATTCATACCCACAGCAAGGATCAGTTGTGCATAAGGTTAAGGATGGGGACATTGACCATAATTCCTATTAAGTATCAGTCTGTGACCTTTACTTTCCCTGTCAGTAAGGCTCAATAGATTTCTCCTCCCCTGCTGAGTCATCAACCCTGGCTCAGGCAGTTTGCAGCTATTATACAGCAATACAAACCTATAGGTTATGTCTTTAAACAGTCCTTCCTACATAATTAATCCATATAGATGGGTGGATTGATACTGAAAAGAGGTCTTCTTAATCCAAAAAGATCTTTCATTCAAGAATTATATATAATACTTTTTGTTGTCATATTTTGGGAAAATAATTTTGACCATGAAGAACAAAATAACATTTCCTTTTATTTCAATTATTTCCTGATACCAATAGACATGGTATACAGCTAGTTCCTTTAAAAATCCCTACATCACATTTTTCACTCAGGTTTGCAATATGTGGGTTTGTAGAGGCAGAATCCAGCTAGAGCATGAATACTGCAAGAGAAACGGTTTTTAAAATAGTTTGTTCTTGGTCAAAAAGTCAGAATCCCATGCCACAATGTCAGTGATTGGGTTGATGATACATGGGTTCAGATTCATCCCATATTGGTTTAGGAAGTTAAAAAGGCACTTTAAGGGAATAGTTTAATGTTTGCCTTACAGTCTCATAAAGAAAAAAGTTCATAAGAAATAAGAGCATTCAGGAAATGCCTTTCCTCTATTCATTAGATAAGAATTCTGGCTTAGCTGGCCTCCTAAATTTTTTGTTTCATCTATCTCTCCAGAGCTACGCAGGGTGTGTCTTGTCCTCCTCACTCTGTGCACTAGAGTTAGGATTTGTGACCTTCTGTGTGCCTGGCATCCTGGAAGCAGATTTGGAAAGGGGCTGCCATGATTCCAGAGACCAATGCGAGCTTTCTAAGCATTCCTGAAATTTCTTGCATAAAAAAGATTTTTATGATTTCTTTTCAAGAAATGGCACTTTAGCCATTACAGTACCCAATTAATTTTCCACAGTACCTGGTCTTTCGTTCACTGTCACTAGAGTAGTTTATTTCTGGGAGATTATTTGGAGCCCTTGGAGGATTTTCATATGCTTTCTCAATTATCCTAAAATAAAAAAGAAACCACACAACAAGAAAATAAGCAATTTTAGAAGTCTTTTTTCAGCTACACAGTTTTAATTTACTCTTACAGTCATGAACGCAGAATCTGGGACTAGAAAAAGCAGATAAAAGCGATTTGGCTTATTTTGGTTAAATCGTTGCTGGTGAAAAATAATACAGTCACTGACCTATAATTTTTAGTTCTCCTTTATGGTGCTATATTCATATATATTCATATTGGAAACTTCATCTAACTTTAATTGAAGTCTAGTTTCCTCAAAGATATTTTAGTTCCAAATTTTCTTTTTTTGGATATACCACAGTTATGTTTTAATTAGAAATGACCAAATAAACGCAGATACGTAGACTAATTTCAAAAAGCAGGATTCAAGCAAGAGAAACCTCCTCCTGCAGTTTTCCTTGACACAAAACATGACAGGCAAACAAACATAAAAATACCTTGTCATACAAATTATGGGATATCAGGAATAAGTGCTAATAATGTTTCTGATGATTTTACAAAGCAGTGCAGACAAAGGCTGCTCTTGTTTGGTCCTGCTAGAGGTTATATTCTGGAACAACGTGATCATTATCTGCCTTAACTCTGGATGTGTGGGCTGCAGCTTGATTATTTCAGTGAGCTTGCCAAGGACAGAGGCTCTGCTGAACGACCCTCACTCAGTGCTTGTGGTGCTTTATATGCAGAACGGGGCTGCAAGAAGCAGCACCTCCTTTGTGCCCGACTCCTGATGGGGCAGGCTCCTGTCAGAACTGAAAGAGAAACTCATTCACTGGAGATGCTCAGTATATGCTTCCCTGGTCAGACTGTTGAGTGGAACTGCTGGGATAAAAATATTTTCTATTAAAAAATAGAAAAACTGCCTATCTATACAGATTACTACATTTTCCCTCTTCATGTGGATATACAACTAAATGGAGCACTCAAAAAAGACACCATCAGAATGGTACCTAAAAACATACTGCTAACCTCACTTTAATTGTCCAAAATGGATCCTAGATTTTGTAGATAATGAAATCTAGTAGCAGTAAAGCTTTTATACTAGGAATGCATTTTCTTATATTTGTTTGAGACGCCAGCAGCTGGATTCACAGAACACTTAGAAAAGCACAAAAATACTTAGGAGGACCTTGTCACTAGTCATTTTTATTCTCCATGAGAGATTATAGGTTTGACTCATTGTTTATCAAAATACATGCAGCTTTATTGTTATATTTGGTTAATCAGGCACATTTTAGAAATAATCTTACTCACACTGGGCAAATTCTATTTGCTTGTAAAATGAATTCATATTTTCTGGTTCTACTAAACAGCTACAAGTCTTGATATTTGATCATTAAATTTTAGAGAGGATTATGCTTTGATTCTCACCGCTTTTTACTTTGGTCATCAGCAGACTTTACTTCAGTGTGATCCCCAAGGTCCTCATCTCTGAAAGTGAGAAAGACCTCAGAATTAATAGAAATATTTTCTTTAATCTAAACATATTAAATGTACTACATTATTTATGTTGAAGAAAAAAAAAACAAACTGTATGCATTTCCCAGGTAAGACTCCTGACTACAAGTAAGTTATTTGTTCAGGCTTTCAATTCTTTCCAATGTGACACTGCAAAAGAATTAGAAACGGCTCAGAAATGTCAAGTCCATTATAGTATTGCAGGATAATTCAGGTTGGAATTCAGGAACTTCAGGAGCTCTCTGGTCCAACCTTCTGCTCAAAGCAGGGACAGCACTGAGGCCAGACGAGGCTGCTCAAGTATTTGTCTACTTGGGTCTTGAAATCCTGCAAGGAGAGAGATGGCACAAGCTCTCCAAGCAAGCTGCTCCAGTGCTGGACAGCCATCCATACAGCCAGTCAGAATGTCTCGTGTTTCAGCTCGTGGCCACTGTGTCACATCATGGTGCCACGCTACCGCTGAAGGTCCTGTCTACATCTTCCAGATTGACTGTGGCTCTGTCATTTTAACTTGGTAACTGACTTTCATTCAGTTCAGGCATCAGGACCATGAGCTATGGAAATGGCTATCAACGTGTGTCCCTTGCTTTGTTATCATATCCAGTCCAAATCTCTCTTCCAACTGCTGGTATCTAGGGTTGTGTGCAATCTCTAGGTCCATGGGGTCACATTGATACCAGTAACTCTTCAATTACTGTCTGTGAGAAAATCTGATTTAATATAATAAATTTCATATGTTAACATATGTCAGGTATATAAAATATAATTTTACATTCATATTGGATATTAAATGCTCTCTAATAAAAGTATTACCCATTGACAAATTAAGTTTGAAGAAAGGTCACTGTTGTCCTCATTTGAAAGCAAATCAAAATCTAATTAATTTTACTGAACAGAACCTATTAATACCAATACCCAATCCACCATAAATATTTTATAGTATATAAGAGGCAGATTATGGCAGGCTTACCTCTTATTTTTCTGATCAGCAGTATTTTTTTCAGTCAAATCTGAAAGGTCTTTTCCTCTGGAAAAAAAAAAAAAAACAAATAAAACTGTAAAATATTGCCCCTATCTAGGAAGGGATAAAGTGTCATAAAAGAGAGAAATATATCTAAGTACACATAAAAAAAAAAAAAAAAAAAAAAAAAACACCAAAAAACCCTAAACTTTTAGTTAATTTTATGTTAAAATTTTTCAAACACTAATATTCTTCAAGAAAGTATGTTTGTAATTTTCCCCTAGCAAGGTAAAGTTCTGTACTATTTATTTATTTATAAAAATTATTATTGAGTACATCCAAGAAAATGAAAATGCTTTTTAAAATTTTATTAATTCCATAGTTTAAGATTGTTCTTTGCCAGTGAAGACAGTGAAGAAGAAACATGAATTTTCAAAGAATTTATAATTAATTTACAGACTCTAAGCAGCTTAATCCATGTTTGCATCAGTTATTTGCAGAAATGAATTTTTATTTTAGTTAAGAAACTTCAGCTTCTGAAGATAAAACCTAAATATATGGCCACATGTCCAAAATTTCACTCCTGGAATGACAAGAAATTACCTCTGTGTGTCATCATGGTTAACAATTAAAGCACTGATCATGTCTGTATTTATATTGAAAATGTTGGTTTCTGAACACTGACATATTTTACACATAAGGATATGTTTTCTTTGATTTCTAAATACAATTAAATTAGAGGCAATGTTTTTTTTTCTATTTTCTTTACTGTTTTAAAATGGTTCAATGAATTCAAGAATGGAATGACTTATGAAAATACTGTAAGAAAAATCCCATGGTTCTCTTTAGGTAGAAGTAGAGAGCAAAACAGAAGGCCAAGTCAGCTCTGTGAAACTCCTAACTTTGTCTCTTCAATTCATGATAGGCATAAAACTTTGGATATTACTAAAATTCAGTAGTGTGTCAAAGCCTTAGACTCTATCCTAACAAAGTCTTCGTGAATTAACATTAAAAAAAAAAAAAAAAACAAAACAAAGAAAAGATACCCGACTTAGAGTTTAGTGCTAAATGTATATCTGTATGTATACCTGTGTGTGCATATATGTAAGATTGTCTACTATAAAACAGATGATCACAGGTTGGCAACATTTATCTGCTCTTACTGTTTAGGACATGGTTCTTGAAATTTATCTGTAGTGTATCAGTGCTCAATGTGAGAAATTTTACACAGCTATCAGTAACACAGTAGTCCACCACTTCCTCCCTTTCTCTGTGCTGAAGGGCTGCTTGCAGACCTCCAGAAATTTGGCTTGAAACTCGGCTTGAAACTCATTGAACTGACACACTGTTCAAAAAAGAAAATTCAAGCTTTCTTTCTTTATGGATGATTTTCCTTGCTGATTGAAATGCTTTGTTACACCTTGATGGTCAACACATCACCCCTGAGTTCTACAATATTTTGCTTACTGCCCCTTCCCTAACCATATCAAAGTATTTCAGTGATAGTGTAATTGTAGAAACATGTGAGGCATGTATGGAGCTTGCTGTAGGTAGTACTGGTTCAGCTGACTGTGCACATGCCAGTGAATTAATCTGTATTTCTGTATTCATCTTTCTGTATAAGGAATGCTATTTATTAATCTATAAACATTTTACAGATTAGCAACTTTACCTTTCCTGACATTCTCATAGTTGCAAACTACTCACTGCCTTAGAAAAGTAGGGCCTGAGGAACTTTGAACACTTACTCTTTGTCACTTGTGAAAGAACTTGGAATCGCTTTGCTGAGGTTATTGAGGTCTTGGTTCCTTTAGAGACAGAACAAAACCCAGATCAAATCACAATTAGTATAGCCAGCTGTCAATTAGTCAAATTAAATACTAATTTTAAAAAAATGTTATAATTGACACATTCTTTATTAAAGAAACAATTTAACTGATGACAATTATTTTAGTAATTCAGAGGTATTCATAGATATAGCAATATGCCTACCATATGCATATTAAGCACATACTCTTCCTGGAATAAAAAGACCAAATTATATTTTGGGAACAAAAAGTTATAGCTTGTGCTTTTGTCCAAAAGTATAATTCCTGCTGAAGATGCATTGTGGGCAACTTTGAAGAGTGTCTGACCTCAAACATGCTATGATACAAGAAAAAAATCTTTACCAAGTAGTACAATCAACCAAGTACTTCCAACATGTGTGTGAATCATATCTTGTCTATTATAGACTAAGTCTTTCTGTCTAAATTTAAAAAAAAAGTCCTTTTGTCTCTTTGGTAGGCTATCTAGACCAGCTCCTTCCCAAGTGAACTCTCACTTCTCACAAGAAATGTGATATATAAACTGAGAGCTGGTTACTGAGATCTGGTGCACTGATTCTTGCACTTTCACACAGGGATGGAATGTAATTTCTCATTACTATCTGATGTAAGGAAAAGAAAATCTTTCTTGAATTACATCTTGTTGGTTAATTATTTTCCCTTTTTCAATATACTAATATTAAGCATATATTAATGTAACAAAACTATTAAAAATAGAAATGTAAATTAATGTATTTTATGTATTTTGAATAAAACTTTTAGTAGTATCATGACAAAACATGGAGTTTTTCTTTGCTTTATTTTCCTTCAAAGTACTGCACTAGTGTTAACATTTCTGTAAAATACTTCATTTCTGTGAAAATGCATTTTCAAAAGGCAAACTCCTCTACTTGAAAATTTTCCAGCAGCTTTACCTAAAAAGCTGCCATCTAGTAACATTAGCTCACTACAAAAAAAAATTATAATTTTATTCCTCAAAAGAAAGCAATGGGGAAAGAATGATGCCTTTGATGATACGAACTCCTATAGGACCTGTTATATAACCTGGCAGTCAACAATGTTCCATATGTTTCTTTACTGACTTTTCATTCTCGCCTGTTCTGCCATGAAACAACATCTCCATGGAACATAAAGGTAGCCTTTGCACAGAGTTTTCAAAAAAAGAATGACAGTTACCTAAAATAGTTCAAACTTGGCCTACTGCCTGTTTGGAAATAATGGGGGAAAGAAATTTCCAATAATTTAAGACTTACTCCTTTAGAAATGCATGTACTAGCCCATATTAATCCTTGGTGCAACTCGAAGGATGGATGAGTTAGTTCCCTTCTGTAATCTTTAAATCATCATGACTGTGTAGCTAACAGCATTTTGTTATTTCCTCTATATTATACTGTTCTTGTCAGTGCTTTGGGTATCCCAGTGGGTTGCAAGGAAGATTTTACTTGCTATCTAGGTGAGGCTACATGTGCACTTCTTGTCATCTACAGCCTGATTCATAGAACACCAACACTGAAGGGTCCTAATAAGTGAACAGAAACAGATTGCAGCACAAAAGTACAAGCAGACTGACCTGTTCAGATACACATTATGGCTCCTGTGAAAGAGAAGTTCGGTAAAAGAGAATCTTGGAAGACATTAATTTATTGTACACTTCTCAAACTTTCAGCCCCAGGACATATCTTGACAGGACTGCAGCAAGTAACCAGCGCTGATGTCCTGCAAGTTCTTTGCCTTGAGATGGCTGGCTTAGTGCAAAGCAGAGGTCATAGGATACAGAACTGCAAGCTACTGGGTCAAGCATAGTTCAGGTTATTAGCAACTGAAATTAAAGAGCTGTTATTTATAAAAAGGACGAAATGTAAGGTAGAACAGGCTGTAGGACATGGGGTATAACTCAGAATTTATCTGACTGTGCTCAGGGCATACTTTTTACACTTTTTAGATCACTCTTTGTTAGCAAAACTATGTTTACTTTAGCGTTAGCACACAGCACTATCAACCAGTGTTGATATTAGAATATAATCCAGCCTCACATTGAAAGTTAGAGTAGATCTGCATTACAGCACCTAAACAGAATTTCAGGTAAGGTTTCATTTGAGAGTTACTGTGCTAAAAATCAGCAATATAACTTACATCTTTTTTAATACTTCTAAAAGAGAGGACAAGTGTTAAAGTAGAAAAAGACTAAACTATATTCATACATTAAAAAAGCTCCTTGAATATCAGAGTATCAGATGCAGTGAAAGGCTGCTGTGGAGAAGGATTTCCAGTTGCAAGTATAATTTTCACTTGAAAAAATAAACTATTGTTGTGTCCAAGGCTGGCTGAACTGAATTCATACTTCTTACATTTGTCAACAACTTTTTAAAACATAGATGATGATGATGATGGAAAACAGCAGCATAAAACTTCTATACAAAGAAGTTTAGACAAACTAGGGGGAATGTATTTCAAATACGGTAGGTGGCTTGTAATAGATGTTGACATTTTTCATAGGTCATTCCAAAGGATGCCACTTCCAAGTATAATATTTTCTGAGACAGCGATTAAATCCCTGTGAACATTCTGCCTAGGGTGAGTATTTTTGAAATGGATGAGACTGAGGTAGGTCAGACAGCCTGCCAGGAGGAGAATGTATAGTTTGCTCACAAATTTAATAGGATGAAATATTTTAATAAAGACTCAGGACATGGCTGGAAGTTTTCAGGAACCCCTTACTCAGGATAACAAATATGCATTTTTGTATTCTATATAAAAATACTTGAAATGGCAGTACAGAAGATTTTGTATTGCATATTGTACAAAAGGCTCTCAAGTACTGAGGAAAACACATTTGTTACAAAATAGAAACATTAAGATTTGGAGTAAGACCTAGGTATGCTTGTCATTATTGTTAAAGTATGGAAGACAATTATCTTGATTCATTTACTTTTCTGTTTGTAAGTGATCACCTCCTGAGGGAAAAAAAAAAAAAAAAAAAAAAAAAAAAAAAAAGAAAGTGTATTCTGCCTTTAACAACATCTTTGCAAAAAATGCACAAAATAGCACTGTGAATCCAAAGAAAGCCCCACCCTGAAGGACAGAAAAACTCATGTGCAGCTGGGCTGCTGTGGGCCTCATGCTATAGACTTGTTAGCAATAAAATTTGCTGCTGCTCTCTGCTATTTTGCCTCTAGCTGCTTGAGTAAAATAGGATTAGAAATCTGACAACTAATGAAGACAGTCCAGCAGAATAAAAGAGTAGCAAAGAGTATGAGTAAAGTAGGTTTAAAAAAAGCTGTCAAGTCAGGCTGCGTGCAAAATGTGTTGCTCAGTTTAGCCAGGGACTCCTGTTCTGCCATATCTTGAATCCCTATGCCTCTCAGACACAAGCAGAAAGGGAAATTATATAAGGCTTGTGTGACAAACTCCACAGAAATCAGCTACATTCCAAAAGATTAATATCTCTGATATCAATATCAGGAAATGTTCTTTCTTTATGGAACAAGTGTGGTTTGCATTACCTGATTGTATTAATGTTAGCTATCTCATGCCCTCCTTGATTAAATGTATGAAAGATCTATGGGCATTTTCTGTAAGCAATCTTTAAAAGTAGAAGAATTAATGTAATATGCATTTACAAAAAGTGATTTTTTTTTCCTTTTATGCTCTGCATCAAAAAGTTAGAGAAATTGAATTGTCTACATTTTGCTTTGCTTTTCAGTCTGCATTTGATTTCTAACTCAGTTCACTTGAGATAGGGCAATAATACAATACTTTTCAGTCCTTCTGCTCTGTGCTTGTGAATTTCACTTATTTCAGATAGTAATTATGAAATTCTGGTGTATCTGGTGACAAGTCAGATCACCATCAAAAAGAAAAATACAAATTAATCTGATCCACACATTCAAGTACATCTCCTAGTTCTTTCTGATTTCTTGGGGTTTTTTTAATCTTGAAAATATGCAGATAAAGTTTCAATCAGGAAACATGAATCACACTGACAAAAAAGCTTTAGTTATGTTATTCTTTAGTGAAAGCAATGAAAATCTTTCTAATATTTGTATTTGAAAATTCTGAAGACAATGAAGAAAGCATCAATGCAAACAGACTGTCCCTAATGCTGAGGTGAAATTGAAGTTGATCCTAGACATGTGGGAGTGAAAAACAAAATTTTAAACAGACCCCAACTAAGCTCTTGAACCTCAAGGATCAGGAAGCAGAGTATGAGCCCACGACTCTCTCATTATTTAGTGAATACTTACCTAACCTGTAAAAGTCCTGAGCCTCTATCTAGTTCCAAATATTCCCTAATTCTCGAAGGCATTTTTGCCTTATTGCCTAGAATTTCATCATCCATCTTTGCTGCTACACCAACAGTTGTCATAATACCCAAGCACCAATATTATATTATCGTATGGACTAGAAAACTGAAGGACCATGCATATTTCAGACTTGTTGGAATGCCTTTAATGACTGGGGCACTTGATGTCAAATCCACGGATATTCAGTAATATTTTGAATTTAGTCACTCTGTCATCATCAACATAATCATGAGCAACCCAGAGGCAGCTTTATTAAAGGAATTATGCACAGTATTTTTAATAGATCTGCATCTGTTTTCTGATAAAAAGCCCTGAATAAAATTATAAAAACTACTGAGATGACTCCCTATTTCTAATATATGATATAATATGTTTAAATGTGATACCAAACAAGTTGCATCTGATGTCCCTTCTTCCGTGATCTCTCCCTGCTGACCTACAAAGCATTCTGATCAACAGCTTCTTCTTCTGACATGATGGAATATGAAAAGAATGAAATAAGAAAGCCTGGCTTAAACCATAAGGACATTTTTGAATTAGTCACATCAGCATAGGAGAAGACAAAAACAACCAATTGCCAAGTGGGCCTTCCAATGCTGAAATAAAAGAGTTGGTCTAGAGTATATTAAGCAAGTCAGCCATCTTACTGGGTAAAGTTTAGCATCACAGGCCCAGATGAATTTTGATCCTCTATTATGGCTGCTTTACTGCCCCTGCAAATCCCTGCCCATCAGCTTTTGTCAAGTACAACTGAGGATGAATAAAGGAACTTTTTGAGAGAAGATTGGCATTTATCCTGGAGCAGGGTGCATTTCCTTCCACATTGCTATGCTCACTAATCAGTGCCAGGAGCCCTTGCTCAGACCTTTCATCAATAACAGCTGAGAGTTAGGGCACAGAAGGAGCCTGCAGTCAACTGTGAAAACCAATTTATAATGTGCCAAAACAAGTGTAATGCTTAGCCCAGAGGATTTTGGAGTTAAATACAGAGGAAGAAGCTGTTGATCTGAATGTTTTATAGGAGATAGACTGGGAAAGATCACTGGAAAAAGACAACTTATTCTGTTTTTCTGGAAGGATATGTATCACCCTGTAAATACCATATTAAAATTTTGTTTAGGAATAAGGGGCTTGGGTCTCTTCACAGAAGCTGTGCAACAGTGAGTCATTTATATCAACATGCAGAAAAGCTGCAAACCAGTGTTACAGTCAATGTCAAATCTATCAGAATTGAGAGACAAAAGAAGCCTGTCACTTGGAAGGGCCTTCTGCTGAAATGCAAAAAAAAAAAAAAAAAAAAAAAGTAAATTAAAAATTACTGTGTTGATTTGTATTATCAAAAACAATTTAGAAAATGTAAAGCGACTTCACTTTACCATAAAGAAACAATTGTCATTGTAGTGAAAGCAAACTAGTGAAGTATGGGTGTGATCATGTGAGTTCTGTTTCAGTATCCTCACTTGCAACAACTTCTGAGGGACACAGGTGACCCCCAGAACATTTTAGAGGTCTCTAGATGGTCTAGCTAAAAAGTCAAAGCAAATAAAAAACATCCCAAAGGAAAAGTCATACAGGAATTGTTCACGTAAGAGCCATGCCTTTAAATTTTGGCTATCTAAGCTTTAGTCCAACCTAAGATAATTCCTTTGACTATTTATCGTGGCTCTTTGGAACTGCAAATCTTACACATTCATAGAATGGTTTGGGTTGGAGCTAAAAGACCATCCAGCTCCAACCCCCGTGCCGTGGGCAGGGACACATTTCACTAGGCCAGGTTGGTCAGAGCTCTGTCCAGTCTGGCTTTGAACTCTCAGAGATGGCAATCTAATGAAAACACATCATTAGCCAATGTCTCAAAATGCACCTACATATTCTTTCAATTTTGGGCTTTACGCAGCTCTAGAACATGAAAGGTTTTGTCAATAAATGTTTGTTTAGGAGACCTGACATCATGGTTTTAATTCCATTGGCTTGGAAAATTCCAAGTCAATAACAAGTCACTAATTTTTTTTCAATAGAACCCCTGTAACTTAGCTTATTTTCTACTTTTAAATGTTCCCAGTTGTTGATAGACACAGCAATGTGAGTCCTTATTACAAGAGTTAGTTTAAGCACAGGTAATTAATGTGTTCTTTCACAATCTATTGCAATGATAACTGGGAACACATCTTGGGTCAAACAGGAACATCATTAAAAAGGAGCATAGTACACACAGATTTACAGCATTGTCTGAATTTTCTACTACCTGAGAGGAGTCATAATAGTGAGTTATCCTGTACACTAGGGGAAAAGCATATACAGGAGCAAGAATATAGGATTCTCTTAATTATGCCAGAAAAATTTATTCTAGTCCCTTGTTTTGTTCCCTAGAAATTGCCTCTCTCACCCACATACTTACAAATAAACAGCTGAACTATTTTCTTCAAGACAACTTCTGTAGCTGCCATACCAAAAAGACATCTTTATGTAAGGGTTTCTGCAATATGCCCTTTGTCCCCACAGACGAATAGTGTTTCCCTGCTAGCAGACAATCTCCCTACAGATGCTTTAAGAGCTGAGTGAGATCTCTCTCTAATCTCTTGTATAGCCCCTGTTACTATCACCTCAAAGCTTTTCCTAAGGTATGTCCCACATTAATTAATTCTGATATATCTATGAAAAATAAAAGATAAATCAATTAGTTCTACAATTTATGAACTTATGGAAATACAACCTTTTGATTATTCTGCATGCTTGGATGGTAATAATTTTGTATGTCCTGGTAAATGTGGCTCACTGTGCCAAACACCATTATTTCTGTAACTATATGTAGTTCAATACATGTGAACCACATTATAAAAGCCTTTTTATAGAAACACAGATTTTTTTTTTTTCATCCTAGCTGTAATCATTATTGAAAGACTGACTAAAGCTATGTTAAACACCCTCAGAATGTCTGAAGTGGTTTAACATGATTTTTTACAGAACACTGTTCTTTAAAAAATGCCAGTTTTTAAACACCTGCATGTAATGGTTAATACAATTATGGAAAGGAAAAAGGCAGAGTGAGAATCTTGCATCTTCACTGATGTGGAAAAAAGCACAAAAAGAAGTTGATAAGCCACAAATAACAGGCCCATTGAGGGAATCAGAAAAATGTCTCTTTACATATCCAGTGTAGTGCTCATCTCCTGTTGCATTTGTGAGATACCAAGAGACCTGATTTGACCTTTTATTCTCTGAAATATGCAGAATTTTTAGGTAGTAATCTTCTCTTCTTCTGTGTCCTAGCCTATGTTGCTGCCTAGAGTATTTATAGATGCCCTAGCTAATCATGAAATGCCCGTTCTCTTAATGACATCCAACAGGTGAAGGTGCATAATCCACGCCTTCAGATGTGAGATGTGTGTGTGTATATATATATATATACATATATATACACACACTCTCTCTCTCTGTGTTTTAAGATGGAAGCCAGGTCTAACTGTTGTCCTTAAAAACAATGCATTAATTGGTTTTTTATTTTTACAATTTTAGCCAGAAGAGAGTATCTGACATCCTTTTCAGGTAAATCCCTTCTGAAAGATTTTCCTTGTATCACTGAACAGTTTGTTAGAAAGCTAATTGCCATTTTCCAATTATTTTATATTGAAATTAATTCCTTATTCCTTTAACATCCCTATCAGAATCCTGAATGACAGACAATTAATCAATTAAGTTTGATGTTAAAAGCATGACCTGAAAATCTTTCTATTCCAAGTAAAAATATAAGTAACTAAAGGATGTAAATTAAAACAGTATTCTAGTACACATTTATATTACTATATATATTATTCATGTAACTGTTTACATGCCCTGTGTGACACAAGAATTTTTGCCAAAAATGTAGTATTTATGTGACATCTTTTAAAAAGGGGAACTTTTGCTGGCAGCTAATTAATGCAATTTTTGTCTAGCAAAAATGTAACAAAAATCTGTAGTTTTGTGAAGCTAACCTATCAGCAACAGATGGATGACATCTGAAGAACCAGCCAAATGCAAAGGAATTATTGCAGCAGAAGAGAGGGCTGAATTTTGCCCACTAAGATTACAGACTACTTACAGTTTATATACTGACACAAATAGCAGTGCAGTGTTGCCATAGAAACTTGTAGACCAGTAAAATATTCCTCCAGCTCTTCACCAATGAAGGGACAGGAATACAGAGCTTGGTATGGTAATGAGAGCAACCAAGGGATGATTAATGTGAACTGATTGAGGGTGAGGATTAAGTCAGACCTTAACAAGCCCTTAGCAGTGAAGAATGGCTGTGACTTCCCTCGTTAATACTGGGTGTATTTAATTCTCTAAGATATCCCACATTTGTTGAGAGGAAAATGTTGCACTGAAGCATTGCTTTTTTTTTTTCCTTTTCCTAGGGATTACACTGTCAGACATCTTTGGGATGCTTTCTTAGTCATTTTATGCTGGTTTAACATTTTTAGGACTATGGGGGAGGGGAACAGGATTCAAAATAATATAGACTGTAGCTTCAGATCTCATAAAACTGAACTTTATTAATGAAATTAAACAAAATTAACTAATTTAAATTAATTTTAATGTTCACACCATTTAATATTTCCACATAAACACTGCAAATGAGCTATTATAATTCTCAGTGCATATCTAGAAATCTCTTTCTAATTTAATTCATTTTATAATTGCGTATTCAGGCATTTTACTCTGGTCAAGGTCACAGAGTAAAATTTTTTGCATGTTTATAGCATCATAGAATCCTAAAATATCTTTGATTTGGAAAGAACTTTAAGAATTATCCCATTCCAATCCCCTTCTCTTGGGCAGGGACATCTTCCACTAGACCAGGTTGCTTAGAGCCCCATCCAACTTGGCCTGTATCACTTCCCAGGGATGGGGCGGTTATTGCCTGATTGCTTTGAAAAATATAACATCTCTGTCAGTACAGAACCTTAGAATTTGCTGTAATTTTAGTTTAAAAATGTTAAAAAAAAAAAAGTTGATGTCTTTTCCACCAACAATTTTTATGGTGTTCTGCAGACTTTCAAAGATTAGTTGATCCATAAACTCATCCCTCAGAAACAAGTCCATCTTGAAACATGCTAATTTTGTCACCCTAAAGGATATATGTTGGGTTTTCACTATTCAAATGCTAACACCATAGTGCACAAGTTGGGGTGCTTCTACATACATAGTTAAGTGTAGTTACTACCTCTCCCATAATGTCTGAAGAGCAAAGAAAATACACTGTATAATCCAAATTTTCCTGCTTCCAAACATTTGCAGCAACTTAAAAAATCATGCTGTTTTCTAGGATGCAGGCTGGACGGGCTGTAAGATTAAAAAATTAAACAGCTAAAACTTAGCAAGTCAATGAGAGGGAATTCAGAGTTTGGACTTCTAGGCCAATGGTTAGGACTGTTTAAATGCTGCATTAATCACACACCATGTCCAGACAAACTATCAAATATAGAAATAAAGCAAACTGAGTATTTAATATCCCAATAATCAATGCTTATGAAAACACTGGTTTGACTATACGGTGTATGTTACCTTGCTGTAGCTCGATCACCCACATCAGTCTCTGATTTCTGAGGGGTCACCTGTTCTGATGAAGGGGCAGCCCTGCAACAGGAATGGTGAAAACATACTTAAGGTACAAGAAGATATTTGAAAACTCTGTATCACTTAAGTGGTGATACTATACTTCTTTCGGGTGTAGCTACAATGAGTTTGCATTGTCTTTGAGAAATTTTTTCTGAGTTTTTTTTTTTTGTTTGTTTAAATATATATATTATATATATAAATATATATAAAGAATTATGTATTTATAAAAAAAGAAATGTAATGCTTTAGTTCACTAGATTACCACATCCAATGAGCCTTTTGAAAAACTAATATCCCTAAACTAGCTATTTTGTTAGTATGGATATAGTAATAAAGTGGAGTGTCTTTACTGTTCAAAAATTATTTTAGTAGTAAAAAAAAACTTGAAAAACCTTTTATCTTACTGAATATATCTTATTTAGTAAAGACAAAGATTTTATTTAACTAGAAAATACCAATTTTTAAAAAGCTCAATAAATAAACATTTACACATTCCTATTTTTCTTTATGTGAACAATCAAGTTAGTCACTACAGGGATACTAAAATGATAAATAATTATAAGAAAAGGAGAAGGTGGCAGATAGAGTTGATGAGGATTACCTGCTTCTTTAGACTATTTTTGATTTAGTATGGCAACTAAATCATGACAAGTTGCAGAGCTGTCTTAATTAAAAGTCATGAAGTTGCAAGCTGGTTAAGTAATCTTCTCTTAATTTAGACCATGTGAAATGGATATTTAATTAATGAATTAATTTAATAAATTTATTTTCTAAAATTACAGCAACCTTTGCAGACACTCAGGTTTAGAGCAATATGCATCAATTCATTTGAATGTCTGCTATTACAAGCCTTTGCATGTGCAGAGCTTCTTGATTTAACTTTCTTTATCTTCACATTGCTTACATACTTTTAACAGTTTGTTTTTCTTTGCATCGCTCACACTCTCACTGATTGTAGAGCAGCAGTTGCATATAAAAGAGTATTTGCATTAGCAACATACATGACTGTGGAACTAAAACTGCAAAGCAGTTTTTAATGTTTTATGCAGTTTAATGTTTTTTCAATTTGAGTAAATATCCAGTGAAATGTTCTAAGCTATATGCAAATAATTGCATTTCTGCAGGGAAGGAAGTCTTCTTCATGCACTTCTGCACTTCCGCAATGTCGACTACAGAGGAACCCTCCCAGGTAAATTATACAATGTTTGTATTATGAATAAATGTAAAATAATAATTGAGGTTTATGCAAAGGAGCATGTTATATTTCTATATCTACTAAGAAGCAAAGTAAGACATACGTTGTTGGAGCCTCTGAATTTTCCGAGGTGGTTCTAGAGAAAGAAAAGAGTAACCATTTCAGAAACCAAGTAACAAAATGCTAGTATTGAAGCAGTTTGCAAGATTTAGATAAATTAACAGCAATTATTTTTATTTTCACTTCCTTCCAAGATAATTTTTTTAAATGTAGAATATATGTTTAACTCAAGTAGCATAATAATAAATTCAAGCCATATTCTGTATATCACTAAGACAATCATTTTTCAATTAACATTCTCCACTTAATCACTTTGATTAATAGTGTTTTGTTTTCAGCACACAATCCACAACCATAAAAGTCAAATACAGTGAGCTGCTTATAGTCTTAGCTCCAATTGCAATTTCTTTCAAGTGTTCTGTAAAGTGTGTTTAATCAGCTGGAACTGAGGCAAAGAACTCTGGAAGTTTATATATCATGTTTAACTATAAAAGTCTAGAACATCTGAGAATCACAAAAGTACATAAATAACCCTGACTAAGAAAACCCACATATCCGTTTTTGCTGGACTCGCTTCCTGAGGATAGCAGAGCAGTCAGCCATTCTCAAATGTGAAGAAAAGACATAGCTGACATAGCTCTTTGCTCAGTCTTTAAGACTGATAGTGACCTTTAGAAACTCTACTTATTAGCATCTATGCATGGCACTTTTTTTCCTGAAACTCACAGGCAAGTAAAAGGCTTTCCTTTGATAACTATTTTTAGTTATTATAACATTCACAACTTGAAATAGCTTTCACATCTTCAAAGCACTTTTAAAAGCTAAACCAAGTAATCATTAAATGCCTATCAATTTTTTTTACCAGCTGTTTGTGATAGCAACATTGTCAGAGGATCTAGGAAGAGTCATGAAAGCTTCAGAAATAATATGCCTGTTTTCAGTCTTCTCTGAACTGTGAGACTGGAGGAGTAACTGGATAATTAGTGTTGAGAAGAACACAGGAACACAGCTTGCTATTGGAAGCTGGGTGGATGCCATATAGAGCATTATCCTATGTTTTCAAAATTATCATGATCTTAGCAAGATATATATAAAATGAAGCCAGATAAATTCTTTTCAGTTGGCACAATGAGAACATCTAGTAAAGACTGACTTCAAAGAAAATAAACTTTAACATCTTTAAGCCATCTTTCTTCTGAGTGGAGAGTGACTGACTCTTGGCCAAAAAGATAGAGGGTAGTAAACACAGTGTAACATAAAAAGTAATTGCTAAACTTGGTTTTAAGTCTTCCAGTGCCAGACATTCCATTAACTCCCAGAGCAATAGTTTACCAAGGCTTACATCTAACATCACAGTGTATCCATTCATTTCTGTTTCATTTAATTTTTCATCATTACTGCACATGAGACTCATGTTGGAAATTTCCCAGGTTAAAACTAGGAAAGCAGAAGGCCATGCTGCAGCAAATAGTGAGCACAAGAAAAAAAGATCATGAAGGTTTATTTATTAATATTTTAAATCATCCCTATTCTGCTTTTAGATAAGAAAGAAACAAGAAACAAGAAACTTTCCCTGTTCTCTTTCTATTCAGCCAGAAAACAACCACAACTTCAGAAATAAACATCAAACATTCATCTGCAAGTAACTTTAGTCTGATTGTTCTTGGATACTTTGATGACAGGGTACTTAGTCAATTTTGAGGTTTTGTTGACACTGATACCCAAAAGGGCCAGGGATGAGCCCTGACTGTGAATCCAAATGGTACCAACAAATTCCTGCCCTTATGGCCAGTCTCTCTACAACACATTTGCTTTGAGGAGAATTAATTGTAATAGTCCAAAGTGAAACCATGAAGAAAGAATTGCAAGCATGATAGAAATTTTTTTTTTTTTTTTTTGCTGGCACTTCATATGCTCAGGCCCCAGTCAATGCTGGGCATCAGGCTGCCAAAAGCCCAAACAAGTACTTAGGCATGGGATGTTTCTCTTTGCATGGTATCTTCTGCATTGAGCTCACTCCACCAAGGAACTGCCCTGCTTTCTTGCTCCCAAAATGAGCTCTAGCCAAGAGTTAGGAAATAAGCAGCGATCACTGATACGCACCGTTTGCTTTCCTCTTTTTCTGTTGGAGTCTTACTACTCGAAACTGGGGGAGGCATCCAAGATTGCCTGTAGGTTTCAATAAATAATTTTTTCAGTATTACTTAAATGCTCTGGGCCTGAACAGCATACTGTGAATATTAGAATAGAAGTGATGTAAAAATACCTGGAACTTTTCTTAAATTATCAGTATTTGCAAAGACTGCATGTTGATACTTTTTAGACCATATTTACAGAAAACTGAATGGAATAGGAAATAGTACAGTAATTTTATTTACTGTGAAAAATGTTCTGTGACTCTAGGTGTTTTTTTCTGCAAACTGAGTGGTGCAAATAAATGGATCATTCATGGAAAGGACAACCAGATAAAATGCACAAAGAGTGTCAAGTATCAACGCAAGAAATACAATCAGGCTATTAGAGGTCACATAAACAGCACAAGCACTTTCAGTTCCCTTTTTGTTTGGTTGGTTTTTTTTTTTACCCTCATAACTATCAATCCAGCAATTGTTTGTGAGGTAAAAACAATTACACTAGAAACAGTACAATTCATTGATGGCCTTCCATATCTTCCAAGAGCCTGAAGAGAACTACTGGACTGAAAACAGTACAAACTTCCACTAAAAAGGTCTGTTAATATAAATATAATGACATTTTCATTTCTACATTCATTAGTCTACTGATCACATTTTTATGCATTAAATATAAAATAGAAAATAATGATTGAACAGAATTTGCAGCTGGGAAGGATGCAGAAAATTATGACTATCACCAGCAGTACATTTTTAATTAAAAATGTGTTTAGTTGTACACCCTGTTTTTGTTCTTGCCTAGATAATGCTATCTGAAATCCAGATTTTTAAAGGCAGCTGTGTATCATTAAGAAAACTGTGTGATTCATATGCACTGCAACAGCACAAGGTCAAGTTTGGCATCAGAGCTTTCACAATTACAGTGAGCTACAATGCTTTAAAAGTGGACACTGAAAACGAGTACACCGGCTGAGTTAGGGGCTGCAGCCAAGAGTTAGTGCTCATTGTGCCATGTCCACTAGGCCCTGGCTCTACAGAGACAAAAGTTGTAAATCCCATGGAAAAAAAGAGGATGGAAAAGTTTAATTCTTGAAGCTTGCTGAGAAGTTTGGGTGTGATGGAGGAGGAAGTAGGTAATTTCTAAATGTAATTGTTGTACATTACTGAGGCTTAACGCAGTGCTATAGACACTCTGGCAACCAAGCAGTGGTGGGAATGAATACCTCTTTTTCTTGATTGGAGAAGTGACTGCAGTGGTTGTGGATGCTGCATTAGGAGTCCAAGATTGTCTGTTAAGGAAATATATTTAGTGAGTTAATATTCAGAAAGAGTATAATTTTAAATTATTAAAAGAAAAAAAAAATCATATTTCTGCTATCAGAATTATACAAATGGGTATGGTAAATGCTATAACTATGTTTATATACCTCAAAAGACACATGATGTGGGGAACCTTGAGGGGTTCTGATGTTCACACAACTGCATTTTTACTTGATATCCAAAGTAATTTCTGACTTCTTAAAATCTTGACTTCTGTACCTACACTTTAGTCTCCAAACACTATAATAACAATATCATTCATTTTCTTACTTAAAATTTTGTTTCTTATTCAAATATAATGCTTTATGTTATCATATGTTTGTAAAACTAACCTACATAAAATCCAAGCCAGTGATTTCTCATAACATTTATCAAAATTTATTGTCTTATCCTCTGCAATTCTTAATGATAGTAATTGGCATTTCATAATAACAGTAATTGAAGAATAGTGCTTTACAAATCATTTTGCTCTCTGGCAGGGAAAAAATACATACAATTTAAATCTCTCTTAAGTCCCACTTCAGAATTAATTGTTGGTCTGTAAAAAACCCTCTCCAAAAAACACCCCATAAAATTCAATTTATATGAAGCTTCATGTGTCATCATCAGCATGATTTACAACATAATGGTGCCAAATTAGAATTTGAAAGAGTGACCTCAGTTGACCTTTAAATGCCAGAGATACTGATTTGCTCTTCAGAGTAATATCTCAATTCTCCACAAGATGACTTTTAATTGCTGTGCTCTCTGGCAACTATGTTCTGTGTAATTTATTACTGTCAGAACTCTACTGACATTGATGAAGACACAAAGTGATGCATTTACAAGTATGGTGGATGCACTCTTCTGACTTTCTTAAATTAAAATTAAAATTTAAATCAGGTACTAGGTGGAAGTTTTTTAGAAAATATTTTTTCAGTGTAGTGGAATTATATGACATATATAGAGTGGCCACCTCTGCATCATAGCAACTTTTTAAATAGTGTACCAACAATGTTGTGCCAAGTTCTTTTAAATTAAAACTTGTTTTAATCTTCTTTTAAATTAAAATTTGTTTTAATAAAAAGACTGGCCTTCTGACCAAAGAATATGTTTCCACTGGAAAAATCAGCTAGATTATCAAAAAACTATGTTTTATGTTTTGGTACTCAAGTTTTCCACTGGCAGTGTAAAACAGCATTTTCCACTGAAGCATTAAATAGATTTCTTTCTTTATGCTTCCTCAGAATTATGTACTGTATTTGATAGAGTTTATGCAGAGAATTCTAGAGCTCTAGAATATACCCACATTTTTCAAGACACTATTATTCTTGGGGTTTTTGTATTTCAAATGCTGTCATTTTAAAATAATCATTATGCTGAGTAAATGTGTAATCTGAGCTGGTGTCCCTTTTAAGCTGTGTGGAGAAATAGGATTCTTTAAGGAAAATTCTTCTGGTTTTAATGAATTTTTTTTTCTCCTCACCAACTATAAAAAGAGTCTATGATAATTTAGATATAGATGGCTACATTCCAGAGGTCAGGTGGTCAAATGAAGCCTAAAACCAGAACATATGCCATAGAAATAATTTCTCTGTATAATTTTGGTGTGTACATGAATTCTAAAGTTATGGTAATATATAACACATGATAATGCATGATAATTGATGCATGATAAATTATAATACATAATACTTAGATGATAATGTTTCTGAAATTCATACCTGTTGTTTTGCTTATGGTTCAGAGTTGGAGACTTATTTATTTTATCAGTATCACTTCTGGCTGGAATTCTGTCAGAAACACAGGAATTACTTATAATACACACTCTATTTTTTTAAAATACATTTTCAATAAAATGAAAAGATGGAGTATCATTTTGCACTGTGTACTGATATCCCAGTATCACAAATATCCCAGTATCACTAAAGGTAGAGAACAGAAGCTGAAATTACATAAATTTAGTGCACTATTATCTGAAGACTCCAAGTAGCTCACTGGAAAAGTTTTCCAAGATGATGTTCAAACAATAATGCTGTATTAAACATCACTGTTGCTAATAATTTATTACAACTCCTCTGAATTAGCTCAAAATACCAGAATGAAAGCAATGTTAAGTCAAGAGGTACACAGAACTATTGCCATTTTCTCTGCCTCACCATTCCTAGAGAGATGCAACAGTCTTGTTTTATTTACAGATTTAATAGATCAGTGTGATGTGAAAATAATCTAGTGCCAAATCCCTGGCAAAGGATGGTATTGACCTACAGGAAGTTGGGTTCTTTGTGCTTGAACTGATTTCATTAAGCCATGAAATTTACATGAAGAGACAACCACATGATTTTTCAAGCCCTTTATGGATTCTACAGTTGTTGCCTAAAACCCTTCAAAATTTTCACAGAAAACACCATGTAGCTATCACAGCTGAAGCAGATTAGGTTCTTATTTTATTCCAGTTTACTTCCTACATATGGAATATTTTTCAGTAAGAACTGGGGGACTCTGAAAAGCTTAAAGTGATGTACATTGAAACAGAGGACAAATACTAAGTTGAGAGGGTGATTTTAAATATTTATTAAATCAGCTGAAAAACATCTTGAGCTACAACTTTATATATATATATATATATAATTTATTCTCATCTATAAACTGAAGCCATAGATGCAAAACAATTAATCCTAGAACTATAACCTGATGTTACGTATAAAATATTTTGTGTCCTGCCTTCAACAGAATACTGTTGTATTTAATGAAAAGCCTTCCAGGGAGTTCTGGGACACAATCTGCACCAGCGTGTGCTCTGTGTCTTTTGCAAATCTTAAATGCAATTTTGCAAAGAACCCTCCCCTGTCAGGGCAGCAGTGATGTGACAGCAGCTACAGTTGCTGGGAAGGTCACTAGAGGTCTCACTAACCCTGCTGACATTGCTGCGGATGCAAAGCGGAGCGTTCCCTCTCATTCGCCAGCGAACCAGCATTTCTTGCACGTTTCCTCTCGTATTTTCAAAATTCCAGCACAATGCTTTACATAGTTTTGTATTTTCTCATTTTAAAGCCAGCACTTTTTTTACTTAAAAAAAAAATGTAAAAGAAAGGTAAGCATTGTGTTAACTTCTCCTTGTAAAACTTTCGAGCTTCTGATAAGAAATCAAAGAATATCCTCTGTTCTCACCCACAACGCTGTATCTAACAGACACCCCTGGATCAATGGTCCATTTAAACATGTAATGTTTATCTGAATCAAGTTAAATTTCTGGCCTCCACAGTATCCTGTGGTGCTGACTACTACAATTAATATGTGCATTAGAGGAAAAAATAAATGTTCCTTTCCTTTCCTTTTTCCTTTCCTTTTTCCTTTCCCCTTTCCTTTCCCTTTCCTTTCCTTTCCTTTCCTTCCCTTTCCTTTCCTTCCCTTTCCTTTCCTTCCCTTTCCTTTCCTTCCCTTTCCTTTCCTTCCCTTTCCTTTCCTTCCCTTTCCTTTCCTTCCCTTTCCTTTCCTTCCCTTTCCTTTCCTTCCCTTTCCTTTCCTTCCCTTTCCTTTCCTTCCCTTTCCTTTCCTTCCCTTTCCTTTCCTTCCCTTTCCTTTCCTTCCCTTTCCTTTCCTTCCCTTTCCTTTCCTTTCCTTTCCTCTCCTCTCCTCTCCTCTCCTCTCTTCTTTATTACCCAAACATTTACAGAGTATCTGCCCATTCTTACAGTACAACAAAGAGAAAATATTCTTTCATTATTCAGTTTCCCTATATTATTCTTTTCCAAGTGGAGAACTTTTTGTCTTTTCAGACATTTTTCATATGAGAGCTATTCCATCCTTTCTCACCTTCCTCTTTTTTTTTTTTTTTTTTTTTTTTTTTTCCTGGTTCTATTGTAGCTTCATCACACCAGTGAAATGATTCATGCAGTGTTCAAGATGTGGAAAGCAGGTTCATACCAAACACTGCAATGGTTTCTGGTTTGCTCTCTGATCCTTTCCTAGTAATTTCTATCATTCCAAAGTATTAGATTATTAATGAAGCAAACAACGGAAGTATGTCATTTGCTTCCGTCTCTACCCAGGTCTAATTGCTATAGATGTGGTTGGAATTTAGTGTTTCTGGAAGGTATTCTGGACTTAGGATCACTAAGTACATGGAAAAATAGCATTGTAATTTTCATCCCTACCTGACTTTTAAGGTTTAATCTTTTGACAAATAGTTAGTTAGTTCCTAATACTTCTGCTTCCTATGGGAAAGATGTTCTCCACTTGGTACAATTCTTATTTACACCTAAAATCCTTTTTTTGGCATACTTTTTCATCAGTTGCATATTAAGAATACTTTATGTTAAATATTTGTGTGTATGAAAAGACCAAATAAGCAGCTTACAATCTGAAATAATCCAGATACTTTAATATCTCAGCATAAAGCAAAAAGATGTAGAGTACAAAAGATGTACAAAAGAAAAAAAGTTGTAGATGTACAAAAGAACAGTGATCCTCAGTGACCCTGTAGAAACTGAATTTGTCCTATGACCTCTAAATTAGCAATCAGGGTTTGAGGCATGAAAATCAAGCTTTAAAAATTGTTTGAAGTGAGTGGCTATCTGGATAAGTGTGACATAGGTGATATATGCTACTTGAATTTCCAAAAAACTTCACAGAAGTCTGTTTTAAGTGTTTTTAAGTAAACTGACCTCCCATGGGTAATAGAGAAAAAACTGCTTCAGATGTAAGAAACAAAGCATTTGAAATAAATGGCAAGTTTCCAGAGTGGAAGCAGAGATCTGTACAAAACCTGTGTTCTTCCATAAATTCATGAATTATCTGGAAAAAGGGAGAGTGGAATGATGTTCCTTGCCAATGTCATTACTTTCTGGTAGTCAAAACAAATGGTGACTGGCAAAGCTTTTCAGAAGTCATCTGCTAACATGTCAGATTTCTAAAATGGCAGATGACATTCACTTTTCTTGGGTGCAAAGTAATGCCTGACAAGAGAAACAATTGATCTCTGAATCAGCAATTATCACTCAGAAAAAGAGTAATATCTTGGAATTATATGGATAATGTTGTGAAAATTAAAACACAGTTCTTAGCAGCACTCAAAAGAGCAAATTCAACATCATGAAGCAGAAGGGGAGGAATTGCAAGCAAAATAGAAATCATTGTTATTACTCCTCTATTACTCCTCTGTGTACATACAAGGTGTGCACAAATCTTAAATACCTACATGGAGATTTGGACTCCCAGATCAAAAAACTAATATGGAAATAGAAAAGATACAAAGAAGAGCAACAGGTAAATTGAAGTTATAGAACGGCTTTCTCATGATGAGTGAACCAATACAGCAGGATTCACTGGGCTGTACAAGAATAGGTAGGGTGATGATACTGAACAAGTCTCTAGACTATTCTTTTTCAAACTCCTGTGGAGAAAGTAAATTTTATGTAACAATTTTGCATTGTTTCTTACAAGAGAAGTAAGGATCATGAAATAAAATAATACAGTGCTAGAACCCAACTGAATAAAGTGCACTTTTCCCAGAGTGTATTTAAGTGCTGGTTCTCATAGCCCCAGTATGTTCTGGATACCAGATGTTAATGGTGGTTGGATTTTGAAGATGTAACACAGAAAGAACCTGCAAACACAAGCATGGTCATGTCTTCACCCAGCAGAGATCAAGGCTGAACAGAACATTCAAATTAAGCACCTGTATGAAAAGAATGACTGATATAGGTACTGATCATAGTATTTGCAAAGAACTATGGGTTTAGCCATCTTGTGCTTAGCTATTGGAGATATGACTTGGGTTTAGAGTTTGAAAAGGAGGAAACTGGGGAGAAATGGTTATCAGCTGTGGAAAAATGCTTACATTTATCTGAACAAGAATACACAGAAGCAGCTACCAAAAAAAAAGAGAAAATATCAAAAGAACCTTTTCTGAAATCACATTTTCATTTGTCTCATTGAAAATTCATACAAAAGTCATTTGCTTAGATGCTTAGAAGTCTTTTGCTTAGATACTTAATACATAAGAAAACTTTAAAAGAAACCACTGACTTCATTAATGCTTTCCTTTTAAAGACCTCTCACAGGTATGACAACCACAACATACAATACAGCCAGAAAAAGAGCCCTACCTGTCCAAGGTGGTATCAGATCTGTATCGTCCAAGAACAGCTTTCTGATCTTCCTTTTCATTTGTGCTACTGCTGTAATAAAAAATTTAGAAATGCCATTTTGGTCACTGATTTTATTAAACAACTCATCATTAATACAAGAGTATCTATGTCTTAGATTAAAGTAACATACAGGGTTTTAGACCATTCAGATGTCAAACCCTGGATCCACTGCAGTGATCAATTATGGACACTGGAGGCAGATTTACAGTGAAAATATGTATAGATTAAAACTGAACAAAGCAGGTTCTTTGCTTTGTTCATGACATAGTAAAAGGACACTCAGTTTTTGCTAATATAATTAGAAATGTGTTCAGATACTCCACCATACCTGTGTAGGCTATCTTGGGATTTGTATTGGTTAAGCACCGCCCTTCCATAGTTTTCATCAGCACTTCAAGCAAAAGAAAAACAATGAGTATTAAAAATAGATAACTTTTTCTTGGCAAAAATTATTCTGTTTTCAATCAGATTTCACAGCTGTCCACTACCACTGTAATTTCACCAGCTACGGAACTCTGCAGTAGAAAACTCCAGATGTTTTGGAGTAAGAATTATCTCTTCCTACAAGCTGTTCATGGTCCAGATAATGATAACATGGTTGCAAGGCATGTTTCTGCTGTAATTTAAGTCCTAGTTTACACTAGACTAAATTAAACTGATTCTGATTTAGGCTCCTTAAAAGAAATTGCCAAGATTTATAATCCTCTTGCTTATAAAAAGAAAAAGATCATAGTCTTGCAACCTAGACATGTCAAACGAGTGATTTTACTTGTAGAGCAGAACTTCATTAAATACTCAGCACTCAAAAGTCCCAATGAAAAACAGACAGTGAATATTCAGCAAGCTAATACTTTCAAAAGGCAATCAGTATCTCATCAAGATAGATAAATAGGAGTTATTTGATTGAATTCCCTAATTCTGGTTGATACCATCCATGCAAAAGTAGACAGTCCATGCAAAGGTGCATGGCATACTGAACTAAATGTGGAAGAAATGCATGTCCTATTTTTCTTACCTTTCCTCCTCAGGCCTCTTCTTTATCCAGCTGTTATCTTGCAAAAGGGTCCGTCGTTTATTAACATCATGTGTAGACTGTTGTCTGCTTTTAATTGCAACAGAGGGGCTCTTCTTATCTGCAAATGCAGAGAAACACATCTCAAAAATTAACACGTAGAAAAATGTTGGAAACCTAAAGTACTATTACAGATGTTGAAATAGGCAAAAGTTTAATACAGATTGAATTTTCAGTTATCACACCTGTTTAATCCAGATTGCTTCTTGAAAAGTTTGTAGCTTCACCTTGAAGGGCCTGCAGAAACCCAGTTTAGCAAACTCAATTCAGTTTCATCCTTAATATGAAACTGCTTTGCCTGTCTCTAATGTAAACACATTTCACAGATCTGATAAAGGAATTACGAAATTTGCATACCACAGTAATCCCAGGAAAATCAAGCTAATGAATCCTGTTTCCTGGGGTGTTGTCTGTGGCTTTTGTATTTGCAGATGTGTGACAGGATACAAATTTTGAATGACAGCTAATCTTGAGGTGACCACATGGCACTCCAACTATACCCAGCTCAAAATATGTGGATTTTCATGTTTCTCAAAGAGTCAGACTCCCTCTGAAGCTTTTTCCTCAAAGGCTGAATGAACAGAGTTTCTTTACTAGTCAGTTACTTAATTTTAATCTGAACTTTAATCAAAGCAATAGCTTTACATCAAATTTAATTAATATTGGTGTATGGTTTCAAAGGTTATTGGGAGAGACATGCTGAACAAACATGGAAGCCTTACATACTTTTGAAAAGAACCTAAAATATCTTTGTCCCACAAGGCTGATATTTAGTGTATTAGGAAAGTAACAGTATGAAATGCACTTGATTTGGGAGAATATGGATTCTTCCCTGTTTTAGAAAGCTGATGTTTATCTCCTTTGGTTTTTTTCATGAGAATTTTGGCCCTTTTTGCAAGCAAAATATGCAAGGACTATTGTTTAGTATTCTCAGTCCACCTAAGTTTCATATCATCAGCCTGTCTGAGGTAAGAGGAAATATTGTTGTGATATTTTAACATGGCCTATTAAAATGGAAATATAGAAGTTCAGACCAAATAGAAATTCCATCTTTTTAATTGCTATATTTGCCCCAAATTTTTCCAGAGAAGAGAGGGTGAAATATTAAATATACAAAATCTTTGTCAATACAGCCAATTAATTAAAAAAATATTAAAAGTACAGAGGATCTTGTGTTCTCCTGTAAAGACCCTCATGGTTTTCTCCATTAATTCCTCACTCTCTGAGCATTTGTGCAAAAGGATTTTCAAATTTCAGTAGACATCGCTATCTGGTGTTCAGTAATTAGACTGTAAGCATTATGTGTAGAAAGAACATGCAGTCAGTATCATGTCATTTGTCAGAGCTGTGTTTTGGCATTCTGCTCTGATTTATAAGAAAATGTACTCCTTGCATTTAACACAAGAACTTCACCTGTAGTGACAACATTAAAAAATGACAAATAGCTACAGTGAGTAGAAGACCAAATTGTCATAAAGCACCAAAACATTTATCTTAAGTGACAATGGCCAAGAGTGAATTTTAAATACTTTTTTTTTTTTTTCTAAAAGTAGATAAAATAGAGATAAAATTCTGTAAAAATAGATAAAATTCAGTCCAAAAATGTATGTCTCTAATTCAAACTGTGCTTGTTTCAATTCCCTATAGGTATGTCCATACTGCCTAGTGAAAGAGAAGGAATGAAAGGTTTGGACTCATCACTGATGCTGCCTAGTTGCATATGTTCTCTGATTCTGTGTTGGACTTGCTCTCTCCAAGACTGAGGTGGTAGAGAAGTAGCAGGTGTTTTAGGAGCCATGGCTGTGATAGCACAGATGTGTGCTTCCATCTCTTGGCCTTGATACCCAGGTTTGGCTTTCTTCTTTTTAAGCAGCATAGATCCAGCCAACTGACAAATGACCAGGGACAGGGAAAATGCTGTTTGTAAGAATGAGCTGACAATCATGGTAGATTAACAAAAACTAATCTATCCTCACTGCATGAATTCTGCATCAGCCTGTTCACTGCCTATTGAGCTAGTTTTTGTCTTAAAAATACTTACTAAAATCTGACTTTAAGGATTTTAAAAAAATTAAGGCATCCCAGGCTTGCCTGAATAGCTCCAGTGGGTTGTCAAAAATCACTTGGATTTCTCAGAAATCATGGCTTTTTAAATGGCTAAGTGAAAAGAATGTTTCATGAAAACTTGTATAAAGCTGGTAGCCCAGGAATATATAATGTTTTCTTGTCAAGAAACACTTGACAAGTGTTTAGCAGATTAGCAAGCAATCTGCTAATGCCTGAGGCCCTGGGCTAGGCATTAGCAGATTGCTGGCCCTCTTTTCTAGCCTAATGAATTTTCTCCCGAGCTTCAGCTAAAAAATTAAACATAGCTCTGATATAAAAGACCAGGTCACATGAGCACAGGCAGATGAAGCTCATCTCTGTCTCTATTTGACAATAAAAATATATGTCCACTATGCAGTAGAGCCAAGCAACTCCCTGTTGTGGCTATGTGAATTTTGATGCACTTGAGACTGGCACATCCCACCTGAACTACGTCCTCATGCATCTCAAAACCTTTCAGTCTATAGAAATATTTTTGAGGTTCAGGGAAATGGAAAATTTCATCATGTTTCTAGTTTGCCTCTGGTTATTTCTCTGCATAGAAAGCAAATTCCACCCCTCCTCAAGTTTTACTCATCCAGAGGACTAAACAATAATCAAACAATGATAAAACAACTTTTCTGACTCCTTCCCCCATTCTACTTTTCCTCAATTTCTCCTCGTTTTCCCTGTGTGGGTCAAAGAGACGGCACTGAGACCAGTGGATCTTCCCGCTGCCCTTGCAGCCACTTTGGTCCTGTGGGTTTTCCATGACAACCACACCACCTTGCCCCTCACCACCCGGCTCCCTCGCTCCACCACACTCCACTGCCCAGTGGGATGTTCTGGCCTCAATCCCTGCCAGCCACAGCTTATGCACAACACCCAGAGTGTGGCATCTGAATTGGGTCACAGCAGCCCCGATCACCCTCCTGCCACTGCTCTGTGAGGGAGCTGTGCCAGGGGCATGGAGGGGCCTGGACAGGAGGGAGGCCGCGCCTCAGCCTGCAAGTGCCCCTGGAGCAGGAAATGGAGACTCAGTATTACCTCCTTGATTAGGAGACTGTTTTCGTATGTTGAAAGCTGACATTTGTCCCGTGGGATTGTTCTGTCCTTCTGCAGGAATCTGAAAGAAAATGTGACAAAAAAGGAAGTGAGCATTGTCAGTGACATTAGGAATCGGCCCCAAAGACAGGTCAGGTTTGCCTCCACTTCGGTCATCTCCTTGCACAAGTTTAGTCTGACAGGCTGGAATGGCTGAGGGCTGGTCACAGCCCTGCTCAGAGCAAATCTGGTGGCTTTTCCCTGCCTGGTGACAGCTATGTGCATCCCTGCCCTGCTCCTCTGCCTGTCACCCTGCCCCTTCCCTGTTGGGAGCTCCTTCCCTGAGAGCATTTGGTGTGGTGAGAGCCTGCAGGGGCAAGAGGAGTAATACGGCTGCTTCCAGCCGGGGCATGCCTGGTGGGCTGCAATGGTCCGGATAGCGCAGTCCTGCTCAGCACAGCCCGTCCGAGTTCCCAAGCAGCTGCTGGCTGCAGGCAACCTTAGCAAGCTCGAGTGATATCAGCTCTCAGTGATTATCAGCTCTTTGTGATTTCAGCTCGTTAGCTTGCTAGGTGCCGCAGCAAATGCAGGGAGAGAGAGGAGAAGGCCATGTGAGGTTCCGAAGAAATTCTTTATTGGGGTCTTCCACAAAGGTTCTCAGGGACAGCTCTTCTGCTGAACTGGGCAGAAGCAGGGGTTTATATAGGGTACAGGGGTTTTGGAAATTGTCCAGTAGTAAGGGTCAGGGGAAAGTGACCTCTAGGCTTACAGAGAGATAAGCAGGGGTCTGAAGGTGGAAGAGAGTTTTTCTAAGGCCCAGTCATCATGACTTGGCATTTCCTAGCTCAGGCTTCTGACCGCCAAGGAGCCATTGCAGGCCCTGGGCCAGCTACAGAGGGGTACTGCAGAATGGATTGAGGTGGTCAGCTGAAGGGGAAGATGCTATCAGTCCCTGGCACAGCACCTGGAGCACAGGTGAGACCATCCAGCCCTGCTGATGGGTCCCTCAGACTCAGTGGCCATCAGCAGCTGATGCAGAAGGCCAGGATGGAAAGCAGTTCTGCTGCTCTGCAACAGTTTTCTAGTCACTGACTTCTTCCCTTACTTCAAATCAAGTTAAAAGCCTCCAAGACTGATGATTTAAAAAAAAAATATTTTGGAGTTGAGCCATTCAAAAGATTTCATGTTTTGCTTTGAAAGTGGATTGTGAATACCAGGTTTCCTAGAGAAAGCATCAAGCAGAACCAAATGACATTTTGATGACAGAAAATTGTCCCTTAAGTTAAAAAAGCCCCAAATGCTAACATTGACTTAAAGAGTTTGGGCAAAACTGACCCTCTTTAGCAAATGGATTCCTTTTTGTAAAGCAGCATTTTCCAAGAAAGCAATGTTATGCTGGAAAGCTCACAACATGCTCCACTGTCAGGCTGCTAAAACTTACAGAAGCAGCAGAAACTGACAGAAGCAGTCCTTAAAAATCAGAAACATTCTTGGTTCTCTGGATGACAGAGCTATCCTTTCTTTCTTTTTGCAGATGTGAAATGTATTTCTTACACACCTAAAATAGAGTGGAGACACTGTGGCCTGTGGTTCTGTCTTTACTGATGGAAGGTGAAGATTTTGGATTCTGGCAAAAGCTTAATAATAATGCTTACACTGACAATAAAACATTGTGGCTGCCACAAAGGATTGCACTTAGAGCAGATTTTCCTTTTCTTTGCTTGTGCTGCCCAACAATTACTAAAAAAACCTTATGATTAAAAAAACCAAAAAAAAACGAAAAACCCCACCATCAAAAGAATCCCAACCAGCCCCCAAAAAACGAAAAAAAAAAAAACCCTCCCAAAAAATATCCCAACAAACAAACCAGCAAACAAACAAGAAGCATTAAACAACTAGAGATCTTTCTAGAAAGTAAAGATATAAACACAAAACTAATATTGGAGTCCAAAGTCTGCATGTATCTCAACCAGTTGTAAAATTCCAAATATTTCTTAGAGTTTAAAATTCTGGCATTTTAAAAAGGCTCCTACCTGCATTCCATTTTTTTAAGCTCAGTTGTTGGTATCAAGCAAGCATTGGCACGGTATGTGTAGAAAACATGTGACTGTTGGATCTGGTTCCCACACAATAAAAATATGCTCAGGGCTATGGTGAGTCTTATTTACTTTGCAATAGGTTATAAAATGCCTTTTAAAAATATTTATGTAAGGTTTTAAGCATATGTGAACTCAATTTCCTAGAAATTGTTCAGGTAGTTTTTTTAGATAGTTACCACTTTCACTATAAATTTTCCTGAACTGTCCCAAGATGATAGAGAGGTCTCTGATTTACTTTTTCAGCTTAGGTACAGCTGGACATTGATGTAGTCAGTCCCAGGATAATAGAAATTTGATATTTCAGTATATTTTCAAGCAATGAAAACTGGAACTTCTTCATCTCAAGAAGTAGTAGTTTGCATAGAAGAATTTTGGATTTATTTTCTATTAAGTACTTTTAAAGCCATTTTCTAAGGGAAATTAGTCATAAGACTTTGAAAAAGGAGACTTCTTTTGTGAAAATTAAACCAAATGAAAAGCAACTATAAAGAGGCTTGCAACTCCTCTTGTATCCATGAGAGTCCAGCATGTTGCTTTCATCCTCCAACATTTAATTAATACTGGGGTTTTTCTCATCCTATATTAATTTTTTAATATTTTTAGGGCAAAACAATATTTCTGTTTCACATGTGTACAGCATCCAGAATAAACAGCTGCATAGTGTCCCAACCCAAAAGCAGTATGCATAAATGAATCTAAGAAACAGGTACACTCCCTTTTACAGTCAGCACTGAAAATGTGCCAGGTAGTCTGAAATTTTAAACCCAAGCATTTCAGTCCTACAGAATACTGCCATTTTGTCCTTAAGGCTTTCCTCTTACCCTGAGCTTTCAAGTTTTATATCAAAGATTAATTCATTAAAATTTAAAATGCAAATTAAAAAAAATTACTTTAATCTGTAGCACAGACAATCAAGAATCATCAGGGTAATATTTAAATTTTAGGGCTTAGAAATTAAAAGAATCTTGCATAAAGAGGAAGAATAGAGCTCATCAAAGCATTTTTCCTTGGCCTTCATTATTTTGAAGTGTGTGTGTTTGTATCTGTGCATTTAGAAAGGGGAGTGGACTAGAGATTATGAGGATCCCATTAGTTTAAAAATATCAGCTCATAAAGATTTGGAACTGTCACATTATTCACACAGGTCAGTGAACAGCTCATCTTCAGACCATAAGGAGATAAAAAGTTTTTAACTTTGTAAATGAGATTGTGAGAAAGCAGAGTTACAGCTTTCTGTACTATGCTGCAGTAGTAAACTATGTTCAGACATTTTTAATAAGATCTCAACCACCGAAGCAAAACAGCTCAGCTGGAATGCAAAACAAAAACAAACAGGAATGCAACTCCAGTGTAATTTGAATTTAAAAACAGCGTCAGGAAACTCTAAACGAAAATTAAAACTGCCCTGGCCAGTCCAGTAAGCAGCTCCTAAATGGTTTTAAGACATGCCACTCCTAGATTCAGACCCTCAAACATTTTGTGGGAAATCCAAGCATAATCCCAAAGAAATTCAGAAAAACATCAGGCTTGGCTTCAGGGAAAGTAAAAGTACATCTAATCTGGCAAGAAATTCCTCCAAAAGCAGCACAAATCTCTAACACTATTTTTATCACAAATACCTGTATTTACACTTCTACATCTCCTTTTCATCTCCTGCAGTGACTGATCAGGAGAATACCTCAGGCCTGCCTTAAATTCTGAAAGCCAGACCTTTCCAGATCATCTGAGCACACCCATTCCTCCACCACAGAGTCCTTCTGCCTTCCTTCTGCTCTTTGTGATTAAGCTTCACACATATGCATTGCTGTATTTAAAAAAATGCATAATAATAGAAGCATTTCCTGTAAGATTCATGTTTTCCACATAAGACTGAACTACTTCCAACAAAAAAAAATCTTTGCTCTTTGGCTTCTAGCTATGACAGTAATTAAGACCTTATTCATAAGTCAGTTGATATGTATTTTGCTTCTAATAAAACAAGATTAATTTCCACAGCTTAGAGGCAAGAAGCCTCTGCATTATCACCACACTGTATAATAGTAAATGTTGAAGGAGTGTCTCGAGAGATACACCTTCTTCTTTTAAAAGTCAAAATATTTGTTTTTATACTGAGGTTTTTCATATAAAGCATTGCCAAATTCAAATGCCTAAAATGTCAAATTTCCCACTATTATTGATGAACTGGGTGATACAAAAAGTGGTAGCTGAACAATTGACTTAAAAAAGGAATGTTTCAGAATTTGCCTGTCATCCAGCTTCCCATGCTGTATTGCTAAACCAGCCTCAGTTGTAAAGAAGTTGCTGAGATTGGCATGTCCACATGAAACACCAGCTGGAATAAACGGGTTCCATATATGACTCCACACAACCACAGCTTGCTGGCTGCTGTTTGCTACATGATCTTCAAGTTCCAGCTTTTGAAAGCATCAAATATTTGCCATGTGAAAAAGAAAATTGGCCTATACTTTTTTCTTTCTGTATCCAAATTATGAAGCTTGCCACCAAAATTTGATCTTCTTGAAGAACTACTCTGCTCTGACCCAAGCCAAACAGTCAGTATCCTGAGAGCAACCAGAGCTCAAAATTTTAGAATCATTCCATTAGATCTGAAGATTTACTTCAGCTCTACCTTTTGTTTTCCTTTGTTTTCCCTTGTAACTCTTAATCTTAATTCTATAATATGTGGCTTATCTTTCATTTATGTGAGCTGAATGTAGAGAATATGATGGTTTAAAGAAAAGCACATCTGGTCTGAATCATAGTTATGAAAGACACAACAGTGTATCCTTGCTTTCAGTTAACAACTTTCAAGTCAGCAAACTTCATTATTTCCTCCATCATTTCTCTTGAATATAGTGTGACCAAAAAATTGAATTAAGTAATCCTGACTTGATACAGGATAAAGATTTCCAAGCCCTGCTAAGACACTGGGAACACACATAATTGCAGCTTTTCTTCAAGACATGCACTCGTAAGTGTGTGA